CCCACAGATAGAGGAGTCTGGCAGGAGCTATTTCGTGTGGGAGGAAGGTCTGACGAACGGGCGGGGGAACTATACAATGAATTATGGACAAGAAGTCTTGTGGTTATGTTTATTGACTTAAAAAAATTCTTAACGTCTCTCGGTGCCAAATCTGCAGATGTTGGCACATCGGCGCACCAAATCCGTAATTCGTTTTTGGCACACATTTTGACACATTAGCCTTAGAGGCTCACTGGGCGTCACTCCACCGTACAGGCCAGGGAGGGAAGTCGTGTAGAGTGGGCACATCGTCGGGGTATGGTATACACCAGCACCATACAAATCCATTCTTTACGTATACCTGAAGGCAGTTCGCTTTGTACTACATGTACATCTACTGATTTCTGGTAATGTGGTCTGAGACCAGACTGTAAGGTTTGAAGCACTCCGAGAAGGATCCCTGCTCTTTGAAAAGTACGATGCGTGGTTATCCTCAAACACGGAACCTCCTTTTTACATTCTATCCGAGAGAACGTCTCTTACCGAAGCTAGGTACTCAAGGTATTTTTACCTGAGTCGAGTGAAGAAACAGGCATAAAGTGCCAAGTACACAACACTAGGGATTTGAACCCAGAACCTTCAGATTCTGAGTCAACAACCCTAACCACAAGACCACCCTGCCACTTTAATTCACAATCATTATTTCTTTGATATACGTCCTCTCGGTGCTTGGCGGTAGGCCACATTGTTAGCAGGCGTCCGTATATCTCTGGTGACATGCCTATATGTAATTTTCAACGAATGTCCAATTGGCCAAGCAATTCGTCACTGCAAAACCCTACCTTTCTACAAACATATAAATCCAGACAACCTAGAAAGCAGCTGCCGCTACTCGCTTGATCATCTCGCGTGTGAAAATCAGATTAATATGCGCTAAAACCTCCGGGCGCAGTCCTTTGTAGCGTCGACTTATTGGATATAACGGGCGCCTGGGCTTAATGTCGTATTAGCCTAGATGTGCACATGATGTACCATGAAAGAAATGTTTGCCCACACACGTTTACAGGCCAAAGGAGTCTAAAATGTAATAAGAAATAAACTATTCTCCTACTCAAAGAATTTTATTTACCAAAATTCTTGACCGAATCTCACGGTCGGCTATCTAACCTAAATGCTTGTAGACACATGATTTTCCGCCCCTTTGACGTCAGCACTGGGTCAAAGTTAGCCGGAAGTCGGTAACGCCCCCCGTCTCGGTTGAGTCTAAACTGTAATACAAAATAAATCAAGAAACAGGACAAATTCTCTGAAGAATCAGACGTTTCAGATAGCATCAACCATCTTTCCTCATTGACTTAGAATGACACTAAAGACAAGAGTAATCCGTATCATAAACGAATATTGGAATACGTGTAAATAAGGAAGAAAACGTTAAACAGTTCAGCGAATTTATCCAGTTGCTTGTTTTATTTTGTATTATGTAATGCTCTATCTGTGTGTCTAACCTTCATCAACGAGTCTGAAATGTCATTCGGCTTGCCAACAAACGGGCTGTTTCTGCTGACAAAATTTATTCAATGGTTTGAACGTTTGAAATCCTGTAGAATTTCATTGTGATTGTTACACTACAGTCTGCAAATCTCTGGAACCAATGGCGCGTGGTCCGTTTCCTAATGTTGCTATCCTGTCACGCTCGCTTCCCGGAAATTGTGAACAGTAGCGAGACTTTCAGTACCAAGGGTAATGGCTCCTAATGCTAAGGTCACAATTTCCAACTCAGGAATGAAAAGTACTAGTATGTTTCCCGGAAAAGCAAGCTTGCCGCTCGCTTCACGGAAATTGTGAATAGCAGCAAGACTTTCAGTACCACGGGTAGTGGCTGGTAATGCTAGGGTCACAATTTCTAACCCGGGAACGAAAAGTATGATAGACACAAACTAGAAAGGTAACATTTGCAAAGCAAAGGCATGATGTTAACCTTCGCATATGGTCTGCTCTGTTAATTCTTACTCACATACATTCATATATATGGTCAGACAGGAGTATAAATCCCTCCTACTATAAAATTGCAACATTATGTAACCCAACACCAGTTACCATGGTGAGAGACGTCAACAAATCGGGTCATTGAACAGGTCAGGGGTCAGTGTTTGGAGCGGAAGAAGAAGAGGAAACGTAGCAAAAACAATATGTTTTCCTTCGGTAAACATAAAAAAGGTGATGTTGTATATTTATCAAACAGACTGTGACAAAGCCAACCTCCGACAAGGATCTAAGACAGCCTCTTCCGTAGCAAGACAGCTGAACTTGTACATGACCCATGCACAGATGTCTCGCACGAATGCTGTCAGTTTGTTGCAATCGTAACTTGTATCCTCAGATGCCCTCAGTATGTGACAGGCCTCTATGGAATGAAGAATATAAAATCGCCCGAGTCCTTGCCTCTCGGACATACATCTACGCAGTAGCAATCTCATTCAACGTGCGCCTTTGAATATCATATCTTATGATACATCTAAACACAGCACAGCTTTATGCTGCACCATCATTACTGCTCATGACTGTGTAAATCATGTACAGCCATTAGGTATTTTACTTTCCTACCTTTTGTTGAAAACAGCATAAATTTTATTTCGCTACAGCTTACAGTTGAATAACAAAGTTTACAGTTGAATAGCAAAGTTTACAATTGAATAGCAAAGAAAAATTGATATTTCTTATGCAACGAGATAATTCATGTATTATGAGCTCCATCTATTCTTATATTTACAGCTAAGCGGGAAGAAGTTGAACCTAGCATGTGCATACTAGTACGAGTATACATAAACCAGTGTAGATGTGGTAACTTTAAGAATACCCTGAAAGCATGCGTAAATGTCCCATTTTCCGACTCCAGTGAGGAAACACAAACTTTACGCATACTTTAAGGTGTGCTTAAAGATGGAATTTCACACAGTGCTCGCCCTGAAGATGTTATCCTCTCACACATCCTTCCTGGAGATTTAATGAATCAGTTGGTTTTTTTTCAGTACTAAGGGTAGCGGCTTTAGCATGGAACACAATAAGTCATATCTAAACAAACGTCTCGGCTACATCTAGAAGACAACACAATACTCCCACACAAACACAATAAACCCCCATTATATGATAATCCATGGACACGTAAGTAATAGATTGACTCTAATACCTGATTGTCGCCACGACAATGTAGCATCACAAAATATGGTGATTCTATTCACTCAAACATTCGTGCTTGTTGATGCACGTAAACCCCATATGTATGTTTGTCACGTTTTTCCACGTCGTAAGTAGGAATTTAGCATACGGTATGCTGTCTGTATATAATAATACGCGCGCGATCATCCACACGCAGAGGTAGATCACGCAGCCTGAGCTCGGCCGGTCTCCACGGCGCTTTCCTTGTAAGTCAAACAAGCACTTTTTTGTTCGTTGCAAACTTAGCTTCAGAATGTATGACGGTGCATAATGATAGACCGATTGACTCATGTTGTATATCCATAACCTTGCTTTATCCAGAACTATGCTCAGGCACGGTCTTGGATATTCCTTGCGTATCCAGAACTGTGTCTGTGGCAAATCTACGTTCTTGGATACACGGAGACTATCCAGAACCGTGCCTGATCCTATTCTAATCTACCTAGATAGGCACAGTTTTGGATACGCGTGGACTATCCAAGACCGTGCCTAGGACAAAAACACGTTCTTGGATACGAGGAAACAATCCAAAACCGTGATCGAGCCTAATCCGTTCAGGTATAGAGCTAGATAGGCACGGTTCTGGATACCATAATGTGGTGATTTTTTGGCTCCTGTCGTCAGTAGTAATCCATGCACAGAGCAGTGTGGGTAGTGAATGGGTATATCTAGTAGTATCTTTGTAACACCAACATCCATAGAGCATATGGCACTGACAATCTACCATAGAGCATTTATGATTGCCTGTTTATACTTGCATAAGTACATAGCACGGCCTGAAAAGGGTTATGGGACTACCTTTATCTTTTACCATTTAAGGGTGTGTGCAAGAGCAAAACGGTGATAAGATAGAATGGACTGTACAGAAAATCTCCACCATCCGTGTGGCTCTCACTTTCTATGTCTGTACATACGTCAATCGTTTTTATTCCACTTTCTTTTGCTGTGTAAGAGGTGGATTGTTGGCTCCTGACATCAGCACTGAGTGGCGTGGGTAGTGAGTGGGTAGTATCTTTGTAACACCTACGTCTATGGACTATGGCGTTGGCAATCTGCTATTGAACATTTATGACTGGCTGTTTATACTTGAATAAGTACATAGATGTGCTGGACGGCAGAAGATTGGGTTTAAAAGGTTTCAGCATCGTCTATATGGGCGATTTCTGAAGTGTAGTAAAATCAGTAAAAAGAACTGACGTGAAAGTGTTAGGATGCAGGTGATGTGGGGTAGGTCGTTTGAAACCATTCTAGCAGACCTGGTCTTACATTGCCTCGCTGAACGACCAAGCAAATTGCCAATCTAAGGCCACACCGCCTTAATTTCATATGGATGACATCCGCGCGCGCACTGATTTTTGCCTGTGCTCAAAAAAAAAGATAACGTCCACCAAAGCTCTGGCCTGGCTCTAGGCCTGGGTAGTCTATGGTAGTTAGCGACAATACAGAGCCGGGCACCCAGGATACCGAAGCTCCACGACTCAAGAACTCATCAATACATACGTACAGTGCCGATTCACAAATTCCGCACAAAGCCAGCATGTGCCGGCTTGTCGTATGCGTCGCTAAGTACTGCCACAAATTCACAATACCAGCTTTGTATTGCTGTGGTTTAGCAGCATTTTTATTTTTGGCCGGATTTTTTTAATTCTCCCCCGCGCACTAGTTTTGGGGTCTTCAGGGGATGTAATCCATAACATTAAGTCGGTGTGGCCTTACAGAAGTGTGTTACGAAGTAAAGCCGTTTTTCGGCAGCGGCAGCTCCTATGCTACACACTATTATTCCATTTGAGTGCTTTCAAGGAAAAGCAAAATGTCAGCTTAGAGAAAGAGCATAATTCTGTTGACATTTCCAATAACACGGCATCACCTGCGATCTCGTCAACTGGAATATCCGGTAAGTCCATATAGCGTGGAACGTGCAATTTTGCGAGTGGAGAAATTACACGGTTGGTCTCCGTTTTGTTTGTATCGGGCTAAATTGTGACCTTAGAGGTTATAGGCGATGTTAGGAACAAGAGAAGGCACTATACCCTCATTGCTTACCCTTTTACACGGGCTATTTGGGCAGCCCTGCCTCTATGCTACAGTCAAAAACAAATCAATTGAAAAAAACGTGACATTCGTTATTAGATGCCGGGTTAGGCTCATAAAAGGATATAAGGGTGTTTGAAAAACTGTGATTTGGACTGTTCAGAAAATCCCCACTATCCGTGGGGCTCTCACTTCTATGACTGCATCCATATGTTTATTATAACCTTCTCCAAGAAGGTTACTAGTATGTTTTTGGTGGCGTTGGTGTGTGTGTGTGTGTGTGTGTGTGTGTGTGTGCGTGTGTGTGTGTGTGTGTGCGTGTGTGTGCGTGTGTCTGTCTGTCTGTTATTACGATAACTCAAAAAGGCTTTTATGGGTTGTCTTGATATTTGTTATGTGGGTAGATTTTGAAAGGACCTAGAAATGATTAGATTTTGGCTCCCTGGCGGCTTTCCTAGGTACTGCAGAAGACTTCCGGTTTTGATTTTTCATGATCTTGACATGCTAGGGTCACAGATTTTGGTAGATAGCTCATGTGCTGGCCATGAAGTGGCATGACTTTGGGCCTCCTAGCGGATACCCTAGCAGCTTGTTCTTGAACTGCAGAGACATTTGTTGAAAACTATTTGTGGTATGCGAGGAGGTTTCAAAGTGCTGCTAAGTGCACCTGACGTGCTTCATGTTTGAACAGGCTCTCAATTTTCCCGCAAACGCGAGCAGAATGGATCATGCTGTTATCGACAACTGCAGCAATGGCTTCTTTGTTATATATCTTCAGTTGTAGGTACGGCGCCGTCACTTGGTCGTAGTATAGGCCAAGATTTTTATGATAAGAATTTTTGAGCAGGCCCTGACAGAACCAACTAATTCCTATTCACAATTTTCCATCATAGCTACAATCAAAAATTATCAATAGAAAAAATATAGGTTGATGTATTTAGTATGTATGTAAATACCCTGAAACCATCCTACACATGTATGCTAGGTTTTTCCTTACGGTACGGTTAGTTACTAACACTTGTTGTGATAGCGTTCAGCACCAAGGACAGGGCCGGTGTCAAACCACAGTTATGGTGGGGTTACATTTGACCATAGCTACACTAACACTTGTTGTGATAGCGTTCAGCACCATGGACAGGGTCAAACCACAGTTATGGCGGGGTTACATTTGACCATAGCTACACTAACACTTGTTGTGATAGCGTTCAGCACCATGGACAGGGTCAAACCACAGTTATGGCGGGGTTACATTTGACCATAGCTACACTAACACTTGTTGTGATAGCGTTCAGCACCATGGACAGGGTCAAACCACAGTTATGGCGGGGTTACATTTGACCATAGCTACACTAACACTTGTTGTGATAGCGTTCAGCACCAAGGACAGGGTCAAACCACAGTTATGGCGCGGCCATACCCGTCGTACGACTACGATTTTGATGTCTTTTGGTATCTTAGGCAGCGTTTTCCGTACGAAGATAGCTGAATTTTGTAGAACACATGCACAACTATCCTAAGACTCTTACAGCTGCAGTTTGCGATCATACAACGCATATTGCCAGACTCTTAGATGTATGAGTAGTTTATGCAAGACAAATCTTTGGTGTGATATGCAGCCAGGCATTGTCGCGTGCCTGCGTAGCTACTGTGCTAAGCCGAATGGCTGTTACACTGATGACTGTCTGTCACCTTCATCAGGGCAATTACGCTCGGTTCACTGTACACTGAAGCTAGGTGTAATTAGGCGCAGTGAACCAGTCATAATTGCGCTGATGAAGATGACAGGCGGTCATTGGAACGTCGACTGTTGTTATGTTGTTGCACACACTTTCTCCCACAGTCCGGACTACTATATCCCTATGGAGGCAAACTTTCATTTTGATTTCATCCATTAATCCAGTGGATATTTTCCGTCCGCCCACCTCCGGTGTCCCACGTCGTCCCTACTGTTTTCTCTCAGCAGTGATCAAAGCCGAGCATTGCGCCTTAGAGGGTAGGTGGGAATTAGAATTAATGCCAGGCTTGTTAAAAGCTATCGCAGCACAAAATCCAGTCTTTACGCATACTTTAAAGCATACGTAAAGGTTCAACTTCTTTACTTGCGTGCACCTTCACGCATACTTTAAGATGTACATAACGATAGGATTTCATGCAGTGTCCACAAGAGATTATGTAAATATTTCCCAAATGAATTCAATGGAAAATGAAATACATTTTATTAGCCAGGGTCCTCACTATGAGACCGACAGAAACAGATCATTTCAAACAGTTGCCATAATTTCCCCATCCTTTTACCACTTATAAGACCATAAAGAGATTAAGTTTCTACAAAACCCACTCATTATGCAGAACATGGGACTATTCATTATCCACTGCCTTCAAAGAAGAAGTCGAACCCCATAATATCAAACGTAGGAGTAGTATAAGTTGATCGGACAGTAGTTGTATGTTCTCTATTGCTTTATTTTACTTTCTTTGACATCTTAGATGAAATTATCCCTCGTGAATGATTTTGCGAATAAAGAATTAGTGTCAATTTGACCAACACAAATTGGAAGTGAGGTGAATTGACGACTGCGCGATATTAGCTGACGTCGGTTCCTCTTCAACTGACCCTGTGGCGGAAAGACTGGAATATTTCCCTAGCGAATCTGCGTAAAGAATGCGAATGTACAATGACATGTATTAGCAGCATTGGAAACCATTCGAATCTTATCGTTTTCATCCAAATCCCATCACAATAACAGATACAGATTCTTTATTGGCTCGACAAAAGTACAGGGACTTTCGTATGGTCTACTACTAGTAAGATCTAACAAAACTAAATACATGTATGTATGTATGTATGTATGAATACAGCTATTCTACGCACATAGTATATGTATGCGGCAAACTACGTTCGAAATATATATGTCAGCGTCACAATTAGAGATTTAACTATTCTCTGACATGCAGTCTCTAAGATTTAATGTATTTCCCTATTTGCACACGTACACCGTATGGATTATCTCCTCTTAAAACCATTGTTATTGTGTTCCCGGCGACTCTCTCTATACAGCCAATTAAAGGCTGAATTGTGAGGAGCTTACAATTGATGGGGCCGAGTCGCAAGGGTCTGGGGCGCCCGCCGTCTTGTGCCTTTATTAGCTTTCTTTGATGTATACATTTGCCTATCTATACACAGAAAGGCTATCTCAACTACAGTGTATTATATACATAGTTTATTACGTATTCACCGCATGTACGTGTATGGTGCCTGGATTTATCCTTGAAGTCGATTGTCTCGTTTCCTATATCTGTATCCTTACAGGAGAATTCGGTATCATCAATTTATCAGAATGGACTTTACTGTTCGACCATTTCGCTTAGCTCAATATTTCCTGAGAGGCGCTCTTAAAGATCAATAGATTTATTATTGGGGTCACAAGAGGTCACGTTCATGGCTCTTGTGGGATATCGTTGTTGATCGAGGGTCACGGTTGGTGTGTTGGGATGGCGGCCAAGCTAATCTTTGTCTCGTAAACGGTCGTTGCCATTTGAAACGTTGGGCGATGTTGGTTAAGCCAAGGTTATTGCTACTAACGAAAATAATGTGAATAAGAAGAAATGGCGATGTGGGGGGGGGGGCAAAGGTAAAAATCCAATGGTTGAACCCTAAGTTTGGCTCCTCTGGTTGCATTTTGTCTGTCTCTGGAGTTCAGGAGTTCAGCACCAAGGACAGGACTACAGGCGTTGTCATTTAGAACGGTCGATGCCATTTGGCTGAACGGTCAATGCCATATCCGAGCGTTTCATAACGTTGGGGGGGGGACGTATAAAAAGCAACATTTCCATTGCAAATATACGACAGTATCATAAAAATAGTTAAGATATCAGTGAAAAAGACAGGGCGAAACTTCGGATTAAAACCCGGGTCAGAAAAAGCCTGATCCTGAAACTCTAACCCTCTGCGCCACGAAACATCACGGTGTTGGCAAAGCGTTCTAATGCACTTAAAGTTTAAGGTTATGCAATGTGACATCGACTGTTTAAATTGGCAACGACCATGAGGTAGAAACAAATCCAAACTTTAAACATGCCTTAAAGCATTCTTAAATGTTATACTTTCCGACTCTAGTGAGGAAACAAACTTTACGCTTCTCTAAAGGTGTGAATTTAAAGGTCGAATCTCACACAGCTCGTTTACGAGACTGAAATTGGCAGCAGCAACCTGGGGGAGCAATTGCCAACAGGTTAATAAATAGTACCGGCCCACAGGTCCAGGTGTAGATCACTCATTATGTCTCTGCAATTACTGCAATCATCAATAAGAAATGTCCATATTTGCAACCGTAAAAATCTGGGCCAGACGGCGACCGCCGAGCGAGCTTACAACGACCAAAACTGGATTTGTGTAGCCCTTTGTTGTTTTTCTCTGTTTCTTCTTCTCAAACGTACACATAAAGTCAATGTCTTGGACCAGACGTCTGTCACCATGGTAACCGGTGCTGTAGCAGACACCCTGTGGTGTTGGGTTACATTATGTAGCAGGACAGTGCTAAAGGTGCTGGTCATTATATGCATGTGTTTGAGTGAGAATAAACAGAACAGTAGTTAGGCTAGACCATGTGATAATAAACATTCTGCATTTCCAACCAACTGAAGTAGTATGGTCATGTGTGACGGTCATCGGGTCTAGCCAAAACCATCATGCAAGGAACAGTACAGGGAAGAAGAAAGAAAGAGGAGTAGGCAATGGAATAGATGGGGAAATGGCATTAGAGAATGGGCCAGCGTGACACTAAGTGAAACGTCAAGAAAAACAGAAAACCGAGAAGTGTGGGGAAAACTGGTTGTCAGATCTTCTGTGCTGCCCTATCGGTG